AGAAATATTTTGATTTCTACAAAACAGTTTTCAGCATTGATAATAATAATAATACAAAATATTTTCATCCGTTTTCAACATTGATAATGATAATAATAAATATTTTCAGCTGTTTTCAAAACTGTTTTCAACATTGATGATAAAAATAATAATAATTATAAATATTTTCAACTGTTTTCAAAACTGTTTTCAACATTGATAATAATAATAATAATAATAATAAATATTTGCAGCTGTTTTCAACATTGATAATAATAAAAAATATTTTCAGCTGTTTTCAAAACTGTTTTCAACATTGATAATAATAATAATAAATATTTTCAGCTGTTTTCAAAACTGTTTTCAACATTGATAATAATAATAATAATAATAATAATAATAAATATTTGCAGCTGTTTTCAACATTGATAATAATAAAAAATATTTTCAGCTGTTTTCAAAACTGTTTTCAACATTGATAATAATAATAATAAATATTTTCAGCTGTTTTCAAAACTGTTTTCAACATTGATAATAATAATAATAAATATTTTCAGCTGTTTTCAAAACTGTTTTCAACATTGATAATAATAATAATAAAACTATTTTTCAGCTGTTTTCAAAATGTTTTCAACATCAATAATAATAATAAATATTGTCAACTGTTTTCAAAACTGTTTTCAACATTGATAATAATAATCATAAAAAATATTTATTATTATCATCATCAATGTTGAAAACAGTTTTGTAGGAACTGTGGTTATTATTATCATTTTTTTTTTCTTGAGCAGCAAATCAGCATGATTTCAGAAGAAATAAATTACATTTTGAAATATATTCAGATAGAAAGTTATTTTAAATTGTAATGATATTTCACAATATTACTGTTTTATTTAATTTTTTTTATTTCACATCAAATAAATGTGGACATTTGAGTGTAAGAGACTTCTTTCAAAAACATAAAAAATTATTTAAAAAAATGAATCAAACCCTAAAGTCATACTGTTAAAAATGTTTACACCACCAGTATTTACACTTTTCAGAGCAATTAACCTACAAAAAAAGTATTTATGATTTACTCATAATTAACTTCTACAGACTCTATATATTTAAACTGATAGAGGAAAAAAAGTAGGCTTCATTTGCCAAAAATAGGCTTCATTTGCTTGATACAATATATCATTTCTGAAATTTCTTTTGTTTTTGGGGTATATGAAATATGACAGACATTTCTTCATTAAATTCGCCCCCTTACTGCATCTTTCTGTCAGATTCCTATTTAAGGATTGATTTCAGTCAGCAAAAAATTGGCAGATTTGGCAGTGAAGTTAGGAAATGAATGGATATTTTGCTTTGCCCTAACTCTTGCTAGACCTAACCAAGAATTATATTAGCCTAATGGCGTTTGTAAAATATGTATCCATACATATACAAAAATGTGTATATACAATAGAAAAGTGTGTATAGTACTTAAAGTTTGTATTAACTTAAAATACATGTTTAATTGCATCCTTCTTTTTTGTTTTGTCATGAAAGATTTTATGCCATGTGATTTCAGGGCTTTGCAGGATCGCCAGTGGTTTTCATTCCAGTCCGTTTACAGTCACTAACAGCTGTACAGTACAGCTCTTCATTTGAATCATGCTAAATGTTGCACTGCTATCTTCCCAACAACCTGAGGAAGATGTTCACGTCAGTCTTATATATAAAGTAACTGCAGCTAGATCAAGCATGATGCATTTTAAACTCCAAAACCTCAATTGTTAAGCGTCTAATGATGGGAAGGGCTTACACTGTGTTACCAGTTATACTAACAAACCTCCATCACTCCCCCTAAATCAGTAAATCAGCAGTTAAACGTGTAAAACACTGGAGGGCCGTATGATTTACTTGAATATAAGGCACAAGTCACTGTGGTTGTGATTGAAATGAAATTGCAGCATGTTCAGGAATCAATAATGGCCTGATTTCTTAGCCAAGGCCGTTTGAAAGATAGCTATTTGTTATGCCATAATGTAATAACAAACAGATTACTGTTAATATTAAAAAACTGCAATATCTATTTAGCCTTCTAATTACTTGTAAGAAGGAAAGTGTAATACCTGTTAGTAATATCTGGCTTGTTCTAAAGAGCTCTGCTTTCATCCGGTGGCAATCATTATTTGGATTAACTGCTTAAATGAATGTTGCCATGTGATATTAAAAGTCTTGACTATTTTGATTATTTATCTCATAATGTCTTAAATGTATTTTAGAATAATGAAATGTAATACATTTTCCTATTGTCAGATTTATTGTTTAATCCAAACTATTTTATTAAAGTGATTCATTTGCCTAATGCAAACATTTTCCTGTGTGATTAATTTTAACAAGCTCATTGTTATATCTGTTATATCCAGTTTTTATAAGGTTAGCTTTTTAAAAAAAAACAAAAAAAAAACAGCAAAATAATTAAACATTTCTCAGCTTATTGTATTCATTCTGCAAACTTTTTGTCTTTGAGTTCAGTTAAAACTTCATTGGTTGCTTTTATGTGATCAAACTACATGCAGTTGCCAGATTAAGTTGTGAAAATTACATTTATGACTATTATTTTGTGACACACAACTACATTTTAAAACATGAATTAAAAAAATTTAAATCACTATCCAGTTTTAAATTTTTATACTAGTGCTCTTTCCACGTTATTTTTCAAGCTATTTTCTGTGAAAGCGTCTACATCCGAATTATTAAACGGTAAAAGTATTTGCGCTACAAACTAGTGTGTATGATTACGATGGTAAATTAAAACAATATGATAAGAAATACCAGTTTGCAATGTCAGAATAACGGACTATTTTTGTACTGCTACCGGAAGTCTCGCACACAACTTACAAATGGCCGCGCCCGTTCTTATGTTAAAGGTCACATATTGTACACCTTTCTGGAGTTTTATTTTAGGTTTTGATGTCCTTAAGAATATATATTTGCGGTATAAGTACCGAAAACCATCTCAATATATTTTTACAGCTCCTCTCTCAGGACAGAACAGGTAGATTTTGGACTGTCTAATTAATATTCATGAGCCTCTCTTCTGATTGGCCTGTTGTTTTCTGAGTGACACACGGCCAGGCCAACCACAGGTAACTAGGGTCAGCGACGTCACAGCTCTAGCTGGAGGCAGCAAAACAAAGGGGAAACTGGAGGAATCAGCACAGATTCGGCTACATAAGGAGCTTAAAATATCATCTTGTTGTGATGTTGGGTGCCAGAATCGACGTAATACAGCCTCAAATTAGAAATTTGATCGCATATCTGCTGCCACTGCCAGACAAAAAATTTATGCAGGCTGTGTGCATTTTACTGTGAACTGACTGTTTTGAAACTTATATGGTAGTTAAATAGCCCCTAGACCTCAGTAATCGTGAAAAAAGACAGGAAATTTCAGTTTTGACAATATGGGACCTTTAAAGATAAGTCGGATAAAACCAAAGTCCCTTTATGTAGTATTCTATAGCCTTTGATAAAACAGAACATTACACGTGTAGCTACTTATAGAGTATGCTTAAATAAGCTCAAATGAAAAGTACACGTTGCCTACAGCAGTTATATTTGGGTAAAACAAGAAATTAAAAACGCAGTGCAATAATCCAATAATGATATTGTATGGTTGATGCAATCCGGGTGTTTGTTCATTTAGAATAATTATAATAAAACACATTAACATAATAATAGCAGCGTTACTTATGTTAACAACAATAATAATAGTATGCTAGTTTGCATTTAAATTATGTTCTTGTATTATGTTAGTTTAAACACGAGTCTCTTTAACCACTGATTGGATTGCAGTAGAGCTGCTGAAGAGCTTCATGGAGAAAAGACTGAAGCCTCGGGACTCTTTTGCCTCCTTCAGCAAACACTTTATACATGTATTTCAGAGTGTCTTGGTTTCGCCGGTGTTACTCTCGGTCACTGACCCACTTCACCTCAGTTTGTTGATACGAGTTCAGTGACATATAGAATTCTTTAACTTTGTAAACACAAAGTCAACTAATTATTTAGGGTCAGATCAATCCATCCTATTTATAATAATTTCTTGATCAATTTGTGTGCATATATTTTCATTTTTGAGTGTATAATATAATTTGTGCATATATTGGATGCATTTAATTTATTTCTATATAAGAACGTGTTTTATATATATATATATGTATGTATCAAATTATTTCAGTATTATTTAACATAAATCCCCGTTTAGGTTTATTGTCCTTATTCTATGAGAAATACATGATGTAATCACGGAGCCACGTGTGTGACGTCACATCACCCCACTCGCTCTCTGGCTCTCTATTGGTCGTTTTCTCTGGTTCTACAGGCGGAGTCATCACTGCGGCTCAGACAAACATGATCGCCCAGCGCCCTCCTCTGCGCAGCTCTGATTGGCTGAGGGAGACAAGCCCACCGAAGGCTCGATCATGCCGCTACCGACTGAGATTTTGTAAACAAAAATGGGCTGTTTATTCGGCGCTTCACATTAAACATGTGTTGAATACTTATATTCTTTTAACACCTATTGACTCTCAGCGTATTAATTAAACAGGTCAGTATAATTATTAACGTGTTTCAATAGCTGACAAATGCTTTTGAACATTTAGATACTTGTCATACGATAAGATATGAAAAAAAACTACAACAAAAATAATAATTACAATCCAAAACATACTCTATTTTAAGTAAAACGAACTACAGTAAAAAGTGACCTAAATTGCAGTTTCGTAGCTTTCCAACCTTACATTACAAGACACTTGAATGGCAGTACCGAGTCATGTGAAAGAGCGTCTGCTAAAAGAGCGAGTTCTGATTGGTCGAGCGGCGTGTCAATCACTCACAGCGCTCTGGGGTTTGCCTGGCTCTCGCTGTTAGCATGCTAATGTGCAAAGCAGCAAACTCTTAAGTCAACTTTGCCATGTGCGGTAGTATGGAAACGAACGCGAGCAGGTAGTTGCCTAAGAGTTCTGATTGGTCGAGCGGCGTGTCAATCACAGCGCTCTGGTGTTTGCCTGGCTCTCGCTGTTAGCATGCTAATGTGCAAAGCAGCAAACTCTTAAGTCAACTTTGCCATGTGCGGCAGTATGGAAACGAACGCGAGCAGGTAGTTGCCTAAATCAGCAACAAAGTTGAAAATTCGAAAATTAAGCGGACGGATCCTACGAAACGCAGCCAACAAATGTCCGGGCATATTTGCTCTCCCGACAAGTGCAAGAAGTTCCTAGTTTACATGGAATAACGCCTGTTGTGTGCCGCTGGGACTTGAATACTTCTGAAGTCAGCTTGAAAGAGCAGTTGAGGACAATGAATCTGTCTTTTGACGACCCGTCACTGGAAACCTTAGACTCCAGTTTGTCTTTACACGATTCGAGTGATATTGACACGGCTCTGCTCAATGACATCGATGGTAAGAGATCATTTGTTTACACTCACGGTGCTGGTTGGCAGGCTGGACAAAGTGAATTGTGTGTTTGTATTTTAGGGACGGATACATATTTACATAAATAGATGGTGCTGTCAGACGTATGCACGTGTTTATAATAACTAAGCTTATTATTATTTTAAATCTATAACGCACGAGTTGTCATATTTAACCACTGTGTCATGATATAGGACGCTTGCTTTACTCAGAATCAACTGTATCCCTTTTATACACGCTGACAGTAACACTGGAAGGCAGTAACGTTAGGTGTGAGCAGGTCTGATCAGGTGGGCGTCAGCATGGTTATTGTTGCTTTGTATGTTAGATCTCATTAAAATGGAAATAAAGTGCAAGGTGTCATTAGATTACGGACAGTGTTCATTGTCATTGCCCCGCCCCCCTCCAACTTGGAGCGGCTACTCTCGGCCATTCCCTCGTATTCTGACCTACCAACACAGTTCCGTTATAATTCACATTTAAGGCCTAAAACATAAAATTGACAGGTAAAACTTCATCAGTTCTGCATGTCATACCAAAATGTGTTTTAGAAAATGTTTCGACACTGAATTATCTTCAAAGTGCGAATATGTCTTACTGTGCGTATTTGTTTACTTTTATATTCTTTGCGTTATTATAGCTTTTTGTGTTGATATTAGTAATGGTTCAGCCGTAAATGTACAGTGAATGTAAGTGAGGTGACCGAGAGTAACCCTGCGCTGAAGCGGATTGTGTCCGATAGTAACCTCATAGCGAGGCGCTTTCCAGGCCTCTGATTGGCTGAGCGCGATCACCTCATACAAACACACTAAAGAAGTCTTATGTTTTATTGGGTCACATCACATGTATGTATGCAAAACACATTTTGAGCAGTTAAAATGTTTTTTTTATTTTTATTTTTTTTAACCCTTTTGGGAATGAACTTTCCTTATTTCTATTTATAATAATAAAAAATAATAATGTTATAACTGTACATAAATATAATCAGTAAATAACAGCAATAATTAATAATGATGATAATAATAATAAGAATAATACGAATAATAATAAATTTGCATATCATCTACTTAATAATAATAGTAATATGTTATAACTACATAACTATAATACGTAAATAACAGCAATAATTAATAATAATATAATTCTTCTTCTTATTATTATTATTATTCATATAACCTAGTAAACTGACTTAATAATAACAGTTATAATAATGTTATAACTGTACATAAATATAATCAGTAAATAACAGCAATAATTAATAATGATGATAATAAGAATAATACGAATAATACATTTGCATATAATCTACTTAATAATAATAGTAATATGTTATAACTACATAACTATAATCCGTAAATAACAGCAATAATGAATAATAATAATAATTATTATTATTATTATTATTCATATAACCTAGTAAATTGACTTAATGATAACAGTTATAATAATGTTATAACTGTACATAAATATAATCAGTAAATAACAGCAATAATTAATAATGATGATAATAATAATACGAATAATACGAATAATAATACATTTGCATATAATCTACTTAATAATAATTGTAATATGTTATAACTGTACATACGTATAATCCGTAAATAACAGCAATAATTAATAATAATAATAATTCTTGTTCTTCTTCTTATTATTATTATTCATATAACCTAGTAAACTGACTTAATAATAACAGTCAGTTATAATAATGTTATAACTGTACGTACATAATCCGTAAATATACTGATTATACTGAAAAGTATAATCAGTAAATATCAGCAATAATTGTTAATAATAATAATGATACCTAGTAATAATAATAATAAATATGCATATAACCTAGTAACATGACTTAATAATAATAATAATAATAAAAGTCAACAGGTTACTCTTCTGGAGAGTTACTTGGGAAATGGGAAAAAAAAAGAGTTTTTTTTTCTGATTTAAGCAATTAACGTTTATGTAATATAAGTAATATTTATCACATGTATATTACATTATATATAATATGTGTGTAATTTTTTTTAGTTCTTTATCTCAGATCCTAATAATATTATTGTATTATTTAATAAAAAATAATGTGGTGATTATAATAATGCTTTGTTCCAGTAATAATAATAATAATAATAAAAACTATAATTAACTGTAGCTGTAATGTTACTTTCAAATGGATGAGTTGTGCCTTTAGGGTGTGTCTAGAGTAAATTGTCTATTAAAGTCAAGATAATTAAAATGTCATTATGCTGGCACAACCAGATGAATGTGATTATGTGATCTTGATAAATGGTCACCCAGTGTTGTCATTAATTATCAAACTTTCATTTCGTCAGTGTTTTTGTAGCCTGCAGGTTTCTGAGTTTCATAATCAGTAGTTTAAACATTTGAGGTGTCATGATTTCCTCTAATGAATGTATTTTATTCATTGGGCTGAAGGTAGTTGTGAGACGAATGATCTTGACCAGGCTGTGTCTCTGTCCTTGTGCGAGAGGATTTGCAGTGAATGATGAAACTCTGTAATGAGGCACTCTGCAGTCAGAGCAGCGTCTCCAGCTACAGCTGAATTAAAGCCAGGCAGCATGAGCTGAATTCGCCATGGTTTAGTGCAAATGTGGGATCAGACCCGATGAGTGTGAAAATGAACTTGTGCTCTGTGGATTTCACAGGCCTCGACACCTCAGTCCTGTTGAGATGAAAACTCAAAATAACCAGCAAACTATACAGATCCTACAAACTGAAAAAACTTTGTAGAAAATAAGATCAGCAAGATGTAGAAAGAATAGGGAAAAATATATGGATGTAAGTGCTATGTGTGTTATACTGATCATCAACTGTGTTCATATTAAAGTTAAAGCATTTCTTGGATATTCAAGGAAGGATGATCATAGTTGTGGCCAAGTATATTTCACATTAAAAAGGGCTAATTTAAATAAATGTTTAAATAAATGTTGAAATATATGGCACCTTTATAGAATTGGCAAACGCAAAACCCCACAAAAAGATATTATGTCAAGTGCATTTTTTTACATTTATTTTTTTGCACATGTTTTTTATGACAGGAAGCTGGTGCAGGGCATATAAGAGCCTTATTTTAATAGCCACTAGCCAGTAAGCTGTAGTTTACCTCATAGCCTGGCAAAACCACAATTAACAGCTTGTACCATAAAAGAAAACAGTGAAGATGCTTTTAAAATGCTTGAATTCAAAATGCTTCCTTTGCAAACAATTCACGGTTCGGAAAGAAAATAAAGTGCATTATGTGCTTATTGTGTGCCAATATGATCCGCTACATGCTATTGCTAGCCAGGCAGGGGATTTTAAGAACATTTTGTTGGACAAAAATGTGGGCAAGATGAGTCATCAGTATTTTTGGTCTGTTTTCCCAGAAGTGAGATTTTATTTTATTTTATACTTTTATTCAGAAAGGACCGATTAAATTAATAGAAAAAGTGACTGTAAAGACAAGATTTTTTTTTTATAATATTACAAAATAATTCTATTTCAAATAAATGCTGATGTTTTGAACTTTCTATTTATCAACTAAATCTATTTTCATCAGGTGGCATAACCCCATTTCTAAAGTACTATAAAATTCTGTTATTTTGTAGTTTCAGTCATTTAATAGGTGGTAGTTCATTGTTCGTATGTAATTGCATTGAAAGGATTGGATTAATCTGGGTGATAACGTTATCAAATTATAATGCACCACCCTTTTATTATAGTGCTGTCAAACACATCATATCCTTTTTGACAGTACATCTGATTAAGTCCATGCATTCCCTGGGAATCAAACCTATGATCGTGGTGTTGCTTTTGAATGCTTGGAGGAGCCCATTGCTCACTGTATCCATCTCTGTTTCCATGTTTTAACAGATATGCTCCAGCTTATCAACAACCAGGACATGGAGTTTGGAGGGCTGTTCGATCATGCTCCATTTCCTGCCCCTGCAGCCCTCACGCAGGACCTCTCAGTCCTGCCCCACTCCAGTCCTTCCTCTTCTACAACCACCAACACCTCCTTCATCCTCAGCAGCAGCCCCCACCTGGATGCCCTGCTGGGCCCCCCCATCACCCGCAGCTCCTCCATCCCGGACAAGGTGTTCCACCCACCCACTTTCCAGCAGTCTCCTTTGGCACAGGTGACCTCCACCCCTGCAAACCCCACCACACTACAGACCACACAGCCCAAAGCTCAGCCGGCTCCATCTCCCAGCCTCCACCCTTCCACCCCGCCGGCCCCGAGCCAAGCTGCCCCAGCTGGGAAGAGCCCTGCCTTCGGTGCAACCCAGCAGGCCCTCTTCAGCTCACCGACACACCAACCACTGCAACAGCAGCTCGTGGTCACTTACCCCAACCAGAACGGTTATACTGGTAAGTTTTATTATCTAAAAAATTATATTATCCATAAAGGGGCACTCACATGACCACTTTCAACTAAAGAAGGAAAACTTTTTATGCGTTTTAACCGTTCATTTACACTAGGGCTGTGCAATTAATCGCATGCGATTGTCATGCGCATCTCGTCAGTAAAGCCGGTTCTGTGATTGGTAGTAAATCACCATCACCTGCTTTCAGATGGAGTGGCATTTACTACACAGAGCCGTAGTTCACTGACAATTAGGCAATATCTCGTTCATAATCGCAGATGAATTGCCTTTCGTACCGCTTTAGTTCCAGAACTAAATGTACAGTACTAAAGTACTGGGACGATTTTGCGCAAACTATTTCCCAGTACCATTTAAAGGGTTGCATTCGCACCGAGAGTGTGTACTAAGAAGTGACGTACGCCGGTCGACAGCGTCGTCATTTGTGCGTGGTGTTCAACAACAGAAACAAAGAAGAACAACATTAACAACAGGAGGATGGAGGACGCTGTGATCGGAGCTGTGTTTTTGTTGTGTCTCGTAGGGGTTGCACCGACTAATCGACTAGTCGACTAGTCGACTTCAATGCTCTGCCATGACGCTTTAAGCTTGACGTCGACTAGTCGCTGGTCCAATAGAGGGCACAACAGGATAAGAAATCTTTGAAGGACTTCCACATTTACGCTCCGTTTCCAAACAGTTCAAATGACAAAGACGCTGCCAGGTATAATTAATTCACACACACAATCGCTCTCACTAATGCATTAATATGAATGTAATCTTTACTATGCTTCTTTATCTGTATCTGATTTAGAATGAGCAGAAATCTGTGAGAAATATAACAACCCAAAGACAAAATAACTGATAAAAATGAGCTGTTATAGGAGCAATAGCCATGTGGGCAGCTCTGTGTCAGATGCGCATGACAATCGCATGCGATTAATTGCACAGCCCTAATTTACACAAACAATGACATTTTGGTGGCCTGAAAACACAAACTTTTGAAAACAGCTTTCAAGGTGCAAGTTTTTGAAACCGATACCGTTATTGTTTCTGTGTAAACTACAAAAATGGTGAAAATGGTGCCATGCACATGCACAGTATGTGTTCAGTCTGTAGGTATGTGCGCATAATGTGTAGTGTTTCTTTACAAAGTCATACCGCCAACTATTGGCCTGGCAATACAGCATTTTCAGTTGTTTTTGCAGATCCATGTGAACAGGGATCGTTTTGACAACATTAGCCTGGTTTCCATTACAGATTTGCGCAAACTTTTGTGATATTTTATAAATATCGATAAAAAAAAAAAAAACGATTGCGAAATGTCAGTGTTTCCATTAACCAATGTTATGCGACTAAAACGTAATTTTTTCCTCTCGCGATATGATGTTTACACAACAACGGACTTAAGTCTATATCATGGCAACATTTTTTTTTATTACTGTAGCTCATCAAAATAATGTAATCAGTTTCAGCTTCATTGTTTAAGTTATATAAGATAGTCAACTAGACAACATTTTAAAAAAGGAGTTGGAAATTAAGTCAGTAACTGATCTTTTAACATTGAGTTGGTGGAATTTTTGTACAGTATATGTTTTTTGACATTGTTTTTAAAATATATGCCACAAGTGGCCAAACGCAGCACTCGGAAGAGACAAATCTCTCATTTGTGTGCAAGATTTATCTGAAAATAAAACTGCAAGAAGGAACTTTCAGAAACATGCATCTACATCTTACCATAAATGTGTCAGTTACATCTATTGGCACTTCATCTCAAAGGGTGTAAATCACAGCTAAATGAGAAGCTTATTGTTCACACTTTTTATTAGTTGTCTTTAACAACTATGTAACTACTATATAACTGAAGCATTTGATACAGTGAGGGCGAAGTGACTCCAAGTAAAGTGGGTACTACATTGCCAACAAAATTTTTTTTTTAAATTCTAAATACTTCACATTTTATTAAATTATCACTTTAATATTAATTTATTGGCATCTTAAACAGTAAAGTGTTAATGTGACTTCCACGGTGACTGTCAGACACGTGCTTACAAATAACTAAGCATTCAATACTGAACATTGACACCAAATAAAATGTAAAAAAAAAAAAAAAAAGTGCATTTGCCATGAAGTATGAAAAAGCTCTTTCTCTCTGTAATTGATAATAATAATGTATTGTTGATAAACTATGTAAAAGAACATTTGTTGGCCCAGCAACAGTTGTTAAATCAGCTGAGCTAAGCTTTTGTTTTAGTGTTATCATATTATCACAGTGATTTCAGTCATTTTAAATCAGTGCAGTGTTTACATATTTGATTGGAAGCATGTGTTTATGACTTTATAGTAAAAAAATCAAATGTTGTCATCAATCTCACTCCTTCTGCAGACTCAACTTTTTTTAATGAAAGATTTATGTGTTCTTTTGTGTAATGATTATGCATGTTGTTCATGAGTAATGCACAGTATGAACATTGTTCATGACTACCACTATTACTAAGACTATAAAATGCATCACCTTTGATCAGTCATATGTCAGAAAAGGCCATTTGAGTTCAAGGTGCAGACGGTGAAGTCACTGTTGTCAGTCCTGGAAACCTAGTGAACTTTTACCGTACATTATGTTCATGTGTAAAGCTGCCCAGCCCACATTCTTTCTTTGTATATGCTTTTCTAATTTCCTTTCATTCTGCTTATCGTTTTTTAGCCTTAGGTAATGTCACCACCAGGTCAAAGAGAGAATACAACATCACACTAGTGTAGATCAAAGTTCAGTCAGGCTGAATTGAGTTATGAATTTCTGTAGTTATAAATGACCCTTCACCACCTTACTGTTATTATTGCGGAGACAAGCTTTATCGAACATCCTGTCATAATGAACTGGAGATATGTGTTAAGATAATAGTGTGATTTTTGTTTTGTGTGTGCTCAAGTTTAAAAAAAATTCATACTTAACTAACTTAATCCTCTTCCGCTTAAAAAAAAGAACAAAAACAATTCATAGGATATTATTATTCTTATGTGGGCTAGAAATTGGTCTAACATTGCAAAGCATATTTATTGAAATCACTAAATTAATCAGTGAAAAACTGTGGAGGCTGAGAATCAAAATTAAGGCAAACACTTAATCACAGTGAACTGAACAGGAAAAAGCAACATTTAAAAGTGGTTACAAATGAACTGAAAACATCAGAGAAAAACTGATTGCATGTGGTACTATTTCTAACATTCACTGATTAGAGCAAATGTATGGTGTTCTACTTGTTGATTTGGGTATGATGTAGGGCTGCATGATTTATCACAATGATTGAAATTGCAAAATGGTTTGGTCCAGTGTAAATGTATTGTAAATTCCTGTGTTAGTGAAAATTCCTATAGGCCACTATATACCTGTTATTAATTCATAGTTCACAAAAAAAAAAAGGACATCCATGATGTAGATGAGTTTGTTTCTTTATGGGAACAGATTTGGCGAAATTTAGCTTTACTTAACCAATGGATCCTCTGCAGTGAATGGGTGCCGTCAGAATGAGAGTCCAAACAACTGATTAAAAATACCACAATATCTTCCTGATTGATAGCGTGTTCACATATCAATAGATTTCAAACAATAATAATATTTCCTCCAGGGTGGAACAAAGGGTGGTTAAGGTTTCTGCCTGAATGCTATTTGTTGTGTAATTCCTTACATTTATATAGCGCTTTTCTGGGCACTCAAAGCGCTTTACATAGAAAGGGAGAAATCATGCTTTAGTGCAACTTCTTGCCTTTCTTCCTCTCATGATCTAATTGGTTCTTGCAGCTGTCACTCAGCAGAGCTCCCCTCAGCCAATCGCGAGTCTCTCCACCTCTCCACAGAATGTTCAGCCAATGGCCATCCAAGCCCAGGTGCAGAGCCTCTCGGCTTCGCCAATCCTGACCACCTTGTCCAGCCCTCCTACACAGACCATCTCCCCTCAGGTTCAGCAGGTTCCTGTAAGTGCTTTTATTGGCCTACTGATGCCCGCATGCACAATAACTTACATTTTACAGTCTTAATTGTGTGCACTAAGCGTTCTTCATGTGTTGTGCAGGTTTTGTTGCAGCCGCAGTTCATTAAGGCAGACTCTCTCTTACTCGCAACTCTGAAGCCTGATGCATGTATGGTAACAACAGTCGCGTCACCCTGCATCACAACGCTGGCTACATCCACGGCGCCAGTCCAGAACACCTCACTGCAGGTACACAAACACAGTCCCAAGACTCTGTGAAGTTAAAACTCACAGATTTGCTTCAGTTTGTTGTTTTGTTCTTGGTGTGAACTGGCCCTTCAATCGTATTAGTAGTGCTATACATCCATGTGCAAGATATTTGATATTAAATGTCAAATTTAAACCATGCAGAAGTTAAATTTTTTTGTTTATTTGAAATATTTCTCACTTTTTTTTTTTCCTAATGCGTTTCTGAAGACCTCTGTGTTTATTTTGTGGATCTGTACATCTCTTGTCTCAGGCACTGATGAGTGGAGGCACCATCCTGACCACCGTTCCGCTGCTGGTGGACACAGAGAAACTGCCCATCAATCGCATCGCCATCAGCGGGAAACCAGGCGGCCAGCCGCACAAGGGCGAGAAACGCACAGCCCATAACGCCATTGAAAAACGCTACCGCTCTTCCATCAATGACAAGATCATTGAGCTCAAAGACCTGGTGGCTGGGACAGAAGCTAAGGTGAAGCCAAAACCCAATTACATAACTGGTTTCCTCATCTTGGTGACCCTTGAAGTTCATTTGAAAACTTTAACCAAAGGAGTTTAACTAGATGAGCTAACCTAGATTAGCCGATTTTGTAGCTCTTATTTTTAGCTGGAAGATGCCTTTAACATCATTATAAGATGAATTTTTTGTCTTCTACAGCTCAATAAGTCGGCCGTTTTGAGGAAAACTATTGACTACATTCGCTACCTTCAGCAGTCCAACCAAAAACTAAAGCAGGAGAACATGGCACTCAAAATGTCCATTCAGAAGAACAGTAAGTTCTGTTTAAATGTATATTAAATGCAATATGATTTTATATGTTGATCTATAGAGTGCTTTTTTGATCCTCTTAAGTAGGACTTAAGTACATTTCTATATGTAGCCTAATTCATAATTTCTTCTGTTGTCTTTGATTATATGGTTAAAGTACTGAATGTACTGACAATCGTTGTCATTCTATAGAAACAGCATGCCTATCATATATTTAAATTTGTAATTACACATTTGTAAAGATGAAATTGCAATTTAGTACATTTAAAAAAATATTCACTTTAAATTAGTGCTGTCAAACAATTAATCGCGATTAATCGCTTCCAAAATAAAAGTTTGTTTACATAATATATGAGTGTGTACTCTGTATATTTATTATGCTTATATAAATACAGACACATATATGTTAAACTTAACATATGAAAAATATGTTAAGTTTATATATTAAATATATTTATATATGATTTAAATTATATTAATATAAATATATACATGTAAATATTTTCAAAATATGTGCTGTTTGTGTGTGTATTTATATATACATAATAAATATACACAGTACACACACATTTTATGTAAACAAAAACTTTTATTTGGGATGTGATTAATCGCGATTAATCGTTTTGACAGCACTAGTTTAAATGTATTATCAAATAACACATTACAATTAAATGATAATCAAGTAACTCGAATGTGCTTTAGTATGCAAATCAACATTAAATATGTGTACTTTAAAGCATGACAAAAGTTTATTAAAACATTATGTAAAATGTACTTTAAGTAAAACCTCTAATTTGACATTATTACAAAGTACACTTTTAAGTGTTAAGAATTATAGTCATGCAAGTGTCCCTCTTTAAGTACACCTAAAAGGCCTTTTATTCTAGTAATATATTATCTGCAAGTAAATTTTTCTAAAAGTATACTTTTAAGATTCAAAAGTATTAAAAGTGCACATTCAATACAATTAAGCACACTTCTTTTTCACATGGGGAGCATGGTTGTCTTTGTATTAACTTGTCGCTTCTCCTCCTCAGAGTCTCTGAAGGACCTTGTGATCATGGATGTGGATGTGAAACCAGAAATCCCCACCCCTCCAGCATCAGATGTAGGCTCGCCTCAATCCAGCGGCCCCTTCTCCCACCACGGCAGCGACTCGGAGTCGGACAGCCCGATGGAAGAAGACAACAAGGTAGCAGAAACTCCGATCTTCCAGAGCTCCTATCATGCCTTTAATGAATTGGCTTCGGTCATGAAGTAATTGGATGTGTTAGTGTGCGGTGGATAATTCGATTGCTTGAGGTCAAGAACTTGGAAGAATAACCATGTAATGATCTAACGCCAATTTCTGTTTCCTGTTCTCTCTATTAGCCTGTGGTTGAGAGGGCTGGAGGAATGCTGGACCGCTCTCGCATGGCTCTGTGCGCCTTCACCCTGCTCTTCCTATCCTTTAACCCGTTGGCGTCCCTGCTGTGTGGAGGCTGGAGCAGCTCTGGGACGACTGTCTCTGGACACACAGGAAGGAGTATGCTGGCAGTGCAGGATGCAGGTACTAATACTCACGATATGTTCAGAGTAGCGTCCCATCCCTATCTAAATGCTAACAATGCGATCTTGTTTTGATGCGTGTAGCCGACTCTTGGGGTTGGATGGATTGGATGTTGCCCACTCTTCTGCTGTGGCTGCTGAACGGTGTTCTGGTCGCTGGAGTTTTGATCCGCCTGCTCGTGTATGGAGAACCTGTGACCAGACCTCACTCGGAATCATCTGTCCTCTTCTGGAGACACCGCAAACAGGCCGATCTGGATCTAGCCAGGGTATAAAATGCTTTCTTGCACTCATCTGTTATTGATATGGAGGTCAAAGTCCACCAGACCATCTTCTACACATCTGATATCTGTTTGTCTAATGGTTTTCTGCAGGGCGACTTTGCTCAGGCCTCTCAGAACCTCTGGACGTGCCTCAAAGCTCTTGGTCGTCCTCTGCCCACGTCTCAGCTGGACCTGACCTGTGCTGTGCTGTGGTCCGCCCTGCGTCTGTGTCTGCAGAGACTGTGGGTGGGCCGCTGGCTAGCCAGCCGTGCCGGAGCCCTCCGTTCCAACCGCCCCCTACAGGAAGATGCCCGTAAGAGCTGCCGTGATGCCGCCTTGGTCTACCACCGTCTACACCAACTCCACATGACCGGTAAGTCGCTGTAGCTTATAGAGGAATCAGGTAACCTTGTGAACTGGTAGGCCACCTTTTTCACCTTATCTCCGACATTTGCATACAAATATCACCCCCCTTTAGTTCACCATAGTAAAATGAATAATGAATATATGCATATATCCACACAAACGTATGACGGCCAACATGTTTGAAAGAAAAGTGTGGTTTTCTAGAGCTAATCTTTGCAAATAATCATTTAACAATTATAAAACAATTAGTTTGGACAATGATTCTATATTTCCCTTTTTACAGAAGAATACGGAGCCACGGACATGATATATGGAGAGAGAAAATAAAAGATATTGTGGCTACGAATTAAGAAATTATTATCACTAGTTCTTAAGTTGTTCCCTTCTTTTAGTTAAGTTATGGTCACATTGTACTACGTTGTTTCCTTGTTTTAATGTAGTTAAATTATGGCCATGATTGAACTAAAACAAGAACAAATTATTAAATCTTGAGAATGAATTAGTACAACGAAGCCACTTAAAATGAGGAAACAAACTAATAAATTGTAATGAATAAATTAGTTAATAAATCTTTTTTTTTTCAGCATGTCATATGGTGTCTCAAAAGAATAACGTTTAGTTAAAAAATTGGTATTTCTCACTTTGCGCTAATAGTTTTGATTTGAATGCATCACATCCAGTCAGGTGGTTGTTTAGTTACAAATATAGTTCAAATATTTCAACGCAACCAAACAGTGTTATTTTAGTGTCATTGAGATGCTATTATCATTTTTATTTATTTACTATTTTGAAATAGTTTAAATTTTTATATATTAGCTTTACTAATTTTTAGTATTTTTTAAATGTTTTTCTACATTTATATTTACATTTATACATCAAGTTAAACCTAATTGAAATGCGAAATGATTCCTTCAACTTGTTGACATTTTTTTTTTAATTGTATTTCTGATAACATTTATTTGAAGCAACAAAACATTTTAATTTAAATTTTTTTCTTTTCTTCTGGTTTTAGTTTTAGCTAACTATAATAACCCTGCAACTGAAGCTCAAATTGGACCCAAAAATTCTGCATATTCATATGATCGCAACTCTGTGCTGCTCCTGAATGTCTAATGGTCTGTCATTTGTTATTTGTCAGAGACAGCTTTAGAACATTAAGTTCTTCTACAGGAAACCGTGACACACCTTAACCAGACATAACACATGATAAATCTTCTAGCCATTCATCGTATTTGCTCATGATGTTGATCTGTGTGCAGGCAAGCTCGGAGGAAGCCACCTCTCTGCAATCCACATGGCACTGAGCGCTCTCAACCTGGCCGAGTGTGCAGGGGACTGTCTCCCTGTTGCCACACTGGCAGAAATCTATGTGTCTGCAGCCCTACGGGTTAAAACCAGCCTTCCCCGCCTGCTTCACTTCACTACTGTTAGTACACACAAGTGCACACTCACAGCCCTGATCCAAAACCTAGCGAGCTGCTCTGCTGTCTACTGCATGCAAATATTGACTAAGATCAAACCACAAAAGCAAGTGTACATGGGCAGCAATTGACTCAGAGTTAAGCCCAAAGTATATGACAATTTTTGCAAGTATGCTTTGGTATGTGCACGTGACATAAATTTCCTCATCAGCATAGTGTGCGCTTGGGGTGGGTGATATACTGGAAGACATGATTAACCAGTAGAAATTTCTCAACTGTTAGAGACTTTGTACTATTGTCTCTATCGTGGTTACACGCTCACTTGACGTTGCTGTGCTATGCGGTCACGAAAACATATTGTTTGCATGTGTTTTTTAACATTGCTGTTTAAAAACAAGGAATTTTAAGCCGATGAATCTGCAGCAAAATAGAACTCATTTCGGCATGTACAAGCACAGTCTGAGAGACTGTTTCTGAGCGCTGTCAGAGAGGTGCGCGCACATAAAGTTGGTGCTCATAGAGCGCGGGAGTATTGAACATTATTTTTGCCGCTTTATAGGCTTAAACAGTTAAAGGGGTCATATGATGCTGCTAAAAAGAACATTATTTTTTGTATTTGGTATAATGAAATGTGTTTATGCGGTTTAAGGTTAAAAAAAAACATTATTTTCCACATACTGTACATTATTGTTTCTCTTCTATATGCTCCGCCTTTTTGAAACGCGTCGATTTTTACGAAGCTCATTGTTCTGAAAAGCGAGGTGTGCTCTGATTGGCCAGCTATCCAGTGCGTTGTGATTGGCCGAATACCTCAAGCGTGTGATGGAAATGTTAC